GAGCTATACAGAGCCCTCCTCATTGTAACAACATTTGAGAGGTACATGGCGATGCGGTATAGAGCTTGATTTGGCCTCTGCATGCCTCCAGAGGCTCTGCAATTGCGTCACACCCTCCATACAAAGCCTCTGACCACATTTTCAGATCAAGCATAAATTGGCTGTAAGTCATTTCACCTTTGATTATTTCAACCAGTAATAGGAAGGAAGCGTCACACAATTGTATTCCTCTGAGAATGCTAGCCACTTGAGAGCTTCCTCCTATTTGTGCTGAATAGACTTGTATTTATGTAAATAAAAAGTTATCTCAAGAACAAACAGCTTTAGAGAGCGGACAGAGGCGGAACTCCTTTTTACTGTAAATATAAGCAGGTTTATTTGAAGAGGGGACATCTGTCACCATCTGTTACTACAGAGAGACCACTAGTGATGTCCTCCTGATGATGCAGTGGGCTATGGGTCCCATGCTGACCCCACCAGGCTGTGACGGGGGCTCCTGGTGACATCATCAGGGGGTGATGGGGGCTTCTGCTGACCTCACCAGTCTGTAACGGGCTGTTTGGTGCAGAGTAGGGGGGAGAAAAGACAAACAAGTATCTACTCACTCCATCAACCAGCTGACTTAGGGGCCTCCAGTGTGTGGTCCCGAGATGTTGAAGTGATCTGAAGGACTCGAGTAGTGTATGTCTCCAGGGCTAGTGCTCTGCTCTGGAAGGGTTTTCTGTTTACTGTACTAGAACAGACTGAGTTTGTACTGTAGCTTAAAGGAGATGTAAGATGTAGGTTGGAGCCATGACAATGTCAATGGCGATGTCCACACACTGTTGATGTTTGTGTTGGTACTATAACCAGACACAAAAGCCAGATAGTTAATACTCCCAGATTGATCTCTGTCCACTGATATGACCTCGAATGAAAGTTAAGCCCAGTATTACACAGTGCATCACCACAGAGAGAGAGAGAGTTAGAGATGGAGAGAGAGGGAGAGAGCGAGGGGGAGGGAGAGAGCGAGGGAGAGGGAGAGGAAGAGGGAGAGGGAGAGAGAGAGTCCAGTCCCCTCTCAGGTCCTCTCAGACAGGTGGGCATATACAGTAGACACCAGAAACAAAATTGTAGACCTGCACCAGGCTGGGAAGACTGAATCTGCAATAGGTAAGCAGCTTGGTTTGAATAAATCAACTGTGGGAGCAATTATTAGGAAATGGAAGACATACAAGACCACTGATAATCTCCCTCGATCTGGGGCTCCACGCAAGATCTCACCCCGTGGGGTCAAAATGATCACAAGAACGGTGAGCAAAAATCCCAGAACCACACGGGGGGACCTAGTGAATAACCTGCAGAGAGCTGGGACCAAAGTAACAAAGCCTACCATCAGTAACACACTACGCCGCCAGGGACTCAAATCCTGCAGTGTCAGACGTGTCCCCCTGCTTAAGCCAGTACATGTCCAGGCCCGTCTGAAGTTTGCTAGAGTGCATTTGGATGATCCAGAAGAGGATTGGGAGAATGTCATATAGTCAGATGAAACCAAAATATACGTTTTTGGTAAAAACTCAACTTGACGTGTTTGGAGGACAAATAATGCTGAGTTGCATCCAAAGAACACCATACCTACTGTGAAGCATGGGGGTGGAAACATCATGCTTTGTGTTAGGCTATGGTTCAACCCAGCACTCAGAGAAACAAACACGACTAAGGGAGTGGAAGAAACAAAAATTATTTTAATAAAAGTTCAATTTGTCTTAGTCCAAAAACAACTGAAGAAAAGGAACAGAGTGGGCTAGTCGGCTCCGGAGGAAGGAGAGGCTGAGGCAGGCAGGCAGGCAGGCCGGCAGGCAGGAAGGCAGGCAGGCAGGTTGGGAGGTATGTCTGAACTGAAGACAAAACAAACGACAGGTTAAGGAGAGTAAAGAGCCAGGCTGAAGACAAAGACAATTTAACTCTACTGGTGAGCCAAGTTACCGCTCTGGTAAGAACAACGATCTGGCGCCGGTGGAGAGCCATGCCCAGGAATTAGTAGTGCAGGTTGATGAGAGAATAGGATGCAGCTGCGTAGGCAGGAATCACTGGAAACAACCCGCAGCTGCACAGGAGAGGCAGATCCTGAGCACGCCCCCCGATCCACTCCAGACACACCCACATAATGGGGACAAACACACATACAGATACAACAGACAAAGAGGGGACAAAACAAGGAGGAAGGGACACAGAAAAGGGAGAGACAAGCTGCCCACATAACACTTTGGGGCTGTTTTTCTGCAAAGGGACCAGGACGACTGATCCGTGTAAAGGAAAGAATGAATGGGGCCATATATCGTGAGATTTTGAGTGAAAACCTCCTTCCATCAGCAAGGGCATTGAAGATGAAACGTGGCTGGGTCTTTCAGCATGACAATGATCCCAAACACACCGCCCGAGCAACGAAGGAGTGGCTTCGTAAGAAGCATTTCAAGGTCCTGGAGTGGCCTAGCCAGTCTCCAGATCTCAACCCCATAGAAAATCTTTGGAGGGAGTTGAAAGTCTGTGTTGCCCAGCGACAGCCCCAAAACATCACTGCTCTAGAGGAGATCTGCATGGAGGAATGGGCCAAAAACAGTAGCAGAACTCTGCTTTAATCAGTTCTATCCCATCAACCCCTGCTCTCTCTCTCCTCCTGCTATCCTGCTCCAGCACCGCTCTCCACTCAGCCGCCTTGTCGATATCTTATAATGTAAAAATTCGATAGCCAATTCAGAGCAAGGTCTCTCCCTCAGCATACTAAATTAAGCTGCAGGTCCAGTGGGATGGTAGAACTGAACTTGTCCAAATGAGTAAGGAGCTCAAAAAAGAGAGAAAGAGGCTGAACGTAGTGAATTCATCCACCCAGCGCAGAGCTAAGCTCCGGTGACCCCCTTGAAGCCGACGTAAATTATTAATTAAGAGTCAAACGCCTTGTTTCTTGTGAAATTACCTTTCCCTCCCCCGGCCCTCCCCTCCACGCTAGCCATTGGAATAATTAGTTATAAGGGCACAGACGCTCTCTGATTTTAATCATGTAACAGAAGGAGAATATTCCTACAGTGAGCACATTAGGTCTGGAGTTTGGTGGGAGGGAAAAAAAACCCACAAAGCATCGGTGAACACTTTGGAAATCTGAGCAGGCGCTCGAGCCTTTAATTAAAAATGTATGTCATATTGGAGATGAAGATTTCAACTCAACAGCCAGAGGAAAATGGAGAGCTTATTGAAGCCATCTGCTGCCCAGGAGAAGGATGTGCTTTAATAAGCACCTGCTTTGTGGCTCTATATGACCAAATACCATATACAACGTCTCTGTAGATGTGGATATTGATGAGAAGACACATCTGAATAGGTGAAACTCTCAAAAAATCTATTTTCAGTAGCAGTATTTCTCTAGTTGACACTATGGCCTCTCATCACCACCTGAGCACTGTGACAGAACAGAACAGTTAGTTCAGAGATTTGAGCTGACTTTCTCCCTAATCTCTGTTCTGTATTTTAGCAACTGTGTGCCGGTGACGCCAGGGGAAAGGGAGGGTAAAATGGTGTACCTGTTACTTTAACAGTCTGAATATTTCCTGTGGAGCTGGCGGCTCTTGTTGATCATTTCCTCCCTCTCATCCTCTCCCGTTCCTCTACCCCCTGCCGCGAGGAAGGCCCCAGGCCTGTACTCACTAACGCTTAATGCGTCACAATTACCACAGCGATGGAGCCTGCAGACCCCCCACATTCCCTCCAACCATTTCACTGACTCACACAGCTGCACACATGACAGACAGACAACAAAATCACCCCCCGCCAACAACCCTAGACTCTGACCTGATTGCACCTTCGCCCGCATTTCAACTTCATGTAGCTCAGATCAGCTGATAAGTGCTCTTTATGAAGCTTCATAAAGTACTTTGAAACCTAACACCAACATTGTACCTCGGATTACAACTCAGCCTAATACAGCTGCTGTTTAACAGGTCTATTCAGCTTCTTCAAACTGCTGTGCCATGCTATGTCCGTCTTATACAGCACTATTCAGCCTCATATCATTTTCCATCTTTCACTTCAGACATCAGTCAACATAAGCAGTCCAGTGTATAACCTTCAGCACGGTGACTCACTCTACAGAAGTGTTCCTTCAAGCCGTTAACCATCTGCTCTAAAGCGAGGGGATCTCATCCTCATTGTTTTATTACCCCAGTAATCATCCGTTAAGCCCGTTCTAACATGTCTCCCACACTGATGCTGTGAGCTCAATGACACCTCTGACACCTCCAGCAGTTAGAAAGGCTTCAATAGTTTGTTCCACAGCAGCACTATGTCTTCCCTAACCTCTAACTAACACACACGTCCTGTTCTGTCTCACCCTGAATGCTCTGTTCACATATTCAGCTCCTTAAACGAACACATCTCATGCAAGTTATGGCTCAGTGAGATTGTATTATAGAGGGGACAATGTGTTTGTTGTTCAGCTCTTCTCCTTGCCGGCACTGACTGTCTGAGTCACTGAATCACTGAGTGTCTGGGAAATTAGCTCAATGTAAACGTATGAGACATAGAGTATCATAAGGATTCATACAGTGGTATATTCCACACAACCCTGGAGGGCACTGTGATGGCCACCACTGAGACTCTGCAGTGCCACCTATGGAGCCTGGCAGGCAGGCAGGCAGCGTGCTGCTCTTTGCCCACCAAACATCATCCCATGAAGGGAAAGGAGTCAAACCCAAAGTGGCACATCATTCAGGGACAAGGGGGAATAGTGTATTTGTCATCACAGTCACAGCGCCTGGCACGCACTCGAGGCAAGAGAAGGCGTCTGAATAGATTAAAATCAATATGTCTACTGCTCCCTGTTTTTTATTCATTATTAATGAAGCCAAGGAGGAATTCTCAGGGACGCTATCAGAAATGTCAAATAATATCACATTTTAGCCGGCAGGGTTCCTTGTCAGGCTGATGTGTTTGTGTCTGAATGAGAGTCAGCTCCAGTCCCTGTGGGAAACATGGGGGACAGTGTTGACTGTGGCCCAGCCCAGGTAACCAGACCAGGGGTGTGTAGTGTTGACTGTGGCCCAGCCCAGCTAACCAGACCAGGGGTGTGTAGTGTTGACTGTGGCCCAGCCCAGCTAACCAGACCAGGGGTGTGTAGTGTTGACTGTGGCCCAGCCCAGCTAACCAGACCAGGGGTGTGTAGTGTTGACTGTGGCCCAGCCCAGCTAACCAGACCAGGGGTGTGTAGTGTTGACTGTGGCCCAGCCCAGGTAACCAGACCAGGAGTGTGTAGTGTTGACTGTGGCCCAGCCCAGGTAACTCAAACAGCCCTACAGGGACCAGACAGAAAGGCTGAGGTCTGGAGACTCCTCATCTGCTCCAGAGTCTGAGTCCATAGCTAGACCACAACACAACCACATCAGTGGGAATCCTCTACAGACTGCTACAATGCGATGCAAGTTGTTACGAAGGGAAATACATGTCTTAGAGTGACAGAAAATCAATATTACAAGACTGTCTGAAATGCAAGAGAACAAATCTGAGTGAGCCTGTAGAAATCTGTATAAAATGGAGTAAGAATGAGTAAGACTTAATAATCCTGACTAAGCCGGTATAAGGAAGCCTTGATAGTCAAGACAGTGGATGGATCAGAGCACAGACAGAGCAGCATGCATTATGTATCACTGTATAACAGTGGGATCACTGGGAAAAACCCTGCTCTATCTGGCAGAGAGAGAGAGAGAGACCATGCACACAAACACACACACACAAATACACACACCCACACACAATCGCTAATAGGGTACTGTCCACACACATTTCGGCAACCATCCATTGTATAATGACACTAACACAAACAAAGAAACGGCGACACAAACAGACTCACATCCTCTCCACAGTTAGATCACAAGGACAGAAGAGCACTCCGGGCTCTCCGACAGCACCTACCTGTTATTAGATCATTACCATCTAATAATTACCCATTACAGCCTGCTCTCACACACACTGACACACTCCACAAAGCCATAGCTGAGCCGAGCACGACTATCTTATCTCTCTCTCCTTTCTCCTTTCTCCTCACTCACTGTTAACATCTGACAGCTTTGTGTGTGTGCCAATACAGATGTGTGTGCCTTAATTGCACATCAAGGTTTATTCGCCTACCCCTCCTCCACCTCCACACCAAAGCAATAATTGTTTCTACCTTCATCCCCCCAAGGCCTCTCAAGTAGCTGAAGGTATAGGAGTCTATTTCTATTTCATCTGCTGCTTGGGGAGCAATATACAGTGGGGGAAAAAAGTATTTAGTCAGCCACCAATTGTGCATGTTCTCCCACTTAAAAAGATGAGAGAGGCCTGTAATTTTCATCATAGGTACACGTCAACTATGACAGACAAATTGAGATTTTTTTTCTCCAGAAAATCACATTGTAGGATTTTTTATGATTTTATTTGCAAATTATAGTGGAAAATAAGTATTTGGTCACCTACAAACAAGCAAGATTTCTGGCTCTCACAGACCTGTAACTTCTTCTTTAAGAGGATCCTCTGTCCTCCACTCGTTACCTGTATTAATGGCACCTGTTTGAACTTGTTATCAGTATAAAAGACACCTGTCCACAACCTCAAACAGTCACACTCCAAACTCCACTATGGCCAAGACCAAAGAGCTGTCAAAGGACACCAGAAACAAAATTGTAGACCTGCACCAGGCTGGGAAGACTGAATCTGGAAACATCATGCTTTGGGGCTGTTTTTCTGCAAAGGGACCAGGACGACTGATCCGTGTAAAGGAAAGAATGAATGGGGCCATGTATCGTGAGATTTTGAGTGAAAACCTCCTTCCATCAGCAAGGGCATTGAAGATGAAATGTGGCTGGGTCTTTCAGCATGACAATGATCCCAAACACACCGCCCGGGCAACGAAAGAGTGGCTTCGTAAGAAGCATTTCAAGGTCCTGGAGTGGCCTAGCCAGTCTCCAGATCTCAACCCCATAGAAAATCTTTGGAGGGAGTTGAAAGTCCGTGTTGCCCAGCGACAGCCCCAAAACATCACTGCTCTAGAGGAGATCTGCATGGAGGAATGGGCCAAAATACCAGCAACAGTGTGTGAAAACCTTGTGAAGACTTACAGAAAACGTTTGACCTGTGTCATTGCCAACAAAGGGTATATAACAAAGTATTGAGAAACTTTTGTTATTGACGAAATACTTATTTTCCACCATAATTTGCAAATAAATTCATAAAAAATCCTACAATGTGATTTTCTGGATTTTTTTTCCTCCTTTTGTCTGTCATAGTTGACGTGTACCTATGATGAAAATTACAGGCCTCTCTCATCTTTTTAAGTGGGAGAACTTGCACAATTGGTGGCTGACTAAATACTTTTTTTCCCCACTGTAGCTTCTCTGAAAACCAGACATAAAGGTATATCTGCTCTCAACTTGAATAGACACAAGAATGTAACAGCAGAAATATATATATATATATATATATATATATATATATATACACTGCTCAAAAAAATAAAGGGAACACTAAAATAACACATCCTAGATCTGAATGAATGAAATAATCTTATGAAATACTTTTTTCTTTACATAGTTGAATGTGCTGACAACAAAATCACGCAAAAATTATCAATGGAAATCAAATGTATCAACCCATGGAGGTCTGGATTTGGAGTCACCCTCAAAATTAAAGTGGAAAACCACACTACAGGCTGATCCAACTTTGATGTAATGTCCTTAAAACAAGTCAAAATGAGGCTCAGTAGTGTGTGTGGCCTCCACGTGCCTGTATGACCTCCCTACAACGCCTGGGCATGCTCCTGATGAGGTGGCGGATGGTCTCCTGAGGGATCTCCTCCCAGACCTGGACTAAAGCATCCTCCAACTCCTGGACAGTCTGTGGTGCAACGTGGCGTTGGTGGATGGAGCGAGACATGATGTCCCAGATGTGCTCAATTGGATTCAGGTCTGGGGAACAGGCGGGCCAGTCCATAGCATCAATGCCTTCCTCTTGCAGGAACTGCTGACACACTCCAGCCACATGAGGTCTAGCATTGTCTTGCATTAGGAGGAACCCAGGGCCAACCGCACCAGCATATGGTCTCACAAGGGGTCTGAGGATCTCATCTCGGTACCTAATGGCAGTCAGGCTACCTCTGGCGAGCACATGGAGGGCTGTGCGGCCCCCCAAAGAAATGCCACCCCACACCATGACTGACCCACCGTCAAACCGGTCATGCTGGAGGATGTTGCAGGCAGCAGAACGTTCTCCACGGCGTCTCCAGACTCTGTCACGTCTGTCACGTGCTCAGTGTGAACCTGCTTTCATCTGTGAAGAGCACAGGGCGCCAGTGGCGAATTTGCCAATCTTGGTGTTCTCTGGCAAATGCCAAACGTCCTGCACGGTGTTGGGCTGTAAGCCTCATGGAGTCTGTTTCTGACCGTTTGAGCAGACACATGCACATTTGTGGCCTGCTGGAGGTCATTTTGCAGGGCTCTGGCAGTGCTCCTCCTGCTCCTCCTTGCACAAAAGTGGAGGTAGCAGTCCTGCTGCTGGGTTGTTGCCCTCCTACGGCCTCCTCCACGTCTCCTGATGTACTGGCCTGTCTCCTGGTAGCGCCTCCATGCTCTGGACACTACGCTGACAGACACAGCAAACCTTCTTGCCACAGCTCGCATTGATGTGCCATCCTGGATGAGCTGCACTACCTGAGCCACTTGTGTGGGTTGTAGACTCCGTCTCATGCTACCACTAGAGTGAAAGCACTGCCAGCATTCAAAAGTGACCAAAACATCAGCCAGGAAGCATAGGAACTGAGAAGTGGTCTGTGGTCACCAACTGCAAAACCAGTCCTTTATTGGGGGTGTCTTGCTAATTGCCTATAATTTCCACCTGTTGTCTATTCCATTTGCACAACAGCATGTGAAATGTATTGTCAATCGGTGTTGCTTCCTAAGTGAACAGTTTGATTTCACAGAAGTGTGATTGACTTGGCGTTACATTGTGTTGTTTAAGTGTTCCCTTTATTTTTTTGAGCAGTGTATATATACCTGCATACTCAAACATTCATTTATACGAGTGACTGTAAGTCGCTTTGGATAAAAGCGTCTGCTAAATGGCATATTATTATTATTATTATTACAACATTGATAGAATGTCACAGTTGCTACCTATAGTGTCAGGAGCTAAATTAAGTATCGATTAAATCTTGAATTCCTTTTCTGTTTTCTAACTCCCTTGCTAATAACTCCCTTTTCCTATTTTTTCTCCTCTTTCCATCTCTCTTTTTTCTCTCTCTCTCTCTCTCCCTCCCTCTTCTCTCCCTCTGTCTTTCGTTCACTCTCTTACTCTCTTTCTCTCTCACACACACCCTCTCCCCCTCTCTTTCTCGCTCGCTCGCTCTCCATCTCTCTTTCTCTGTCTCTCACCCTCTCCCCCTCTCGCTATCTTTCCTTCTCTCTCTCATTCTCTCTCTCGCTCTCTCCCATTCTCTATCCCTCTTTATCTCCAGCTGGCCCTGGGTCAAGAAGATGACTCTCCAAGCCCCAAGAGCTCCTCAGCAGACGGGTCGTCCTCTAAGACGGTGGGTCTCCTGGGGAGCCAGACTCCCCTTTCCCCCCTGAGTCGCTGGATGCTCCAGAGTAAAAGCCGGGCAGCCAATGCCACCTCCCTGGAGCTGCCCTACCGCTCACCCATTCCCTTCTCCAAGCAGGAGTTCTGGGAGATGCTGGGTAGTGACCTGATGAAGCCAGACACCTCCTCTTCCTCCCGCGTCAAACGCCGGCCCATCGTCAAGACGGGCAAGTTCAAGAAGATGTTTGGCTGGGGAGACTTTTACTCTAACATCAAGACGGTGCGCCTCAACCTGCTGATCACCGGCAAGATCGTAGACCACGGCAACGGAACGTTCAGCGTCTACTTCCGCCACAACTCCACGGGCCAGGGCAACATCTCAGTCAGCCTGGTGCCGCCGGTCAAGGCGGTGGAGTTCGACCTGGAGCGCCAGAGCGTGGTCTACCCCAAGGACTCCAAGATCTTCAACTGCCGCGTGGACTATGAGAAGGTGGACCGCAGCAAGCGCACGTCACTGTGCAACTACGACCCGTCCAAGACCTGCTTCCAGGAGCAGACACAGAGCCATGTCTCCTGGATCTGTTCCAAGCCCTTCAAGGTAATCTGTATCTACATCTCCTTCTACAGTACAGACTACCGCCTGGTCCAGAAGGTCTGCCCGGACTACAACTACCACAACGAGATGCCCTACCTGCCCTCGGGCTAGAGAGGGGCACACAGGAGGGGCAGAGGAGGGATGAGGGGAGGAGTGACTTTGTAGGGTGAGGGGCCACTAAATTGAGCTGGATAAACTTTTTCTGTCATTTGCTGCAAAACCTCACCAGACAACCCCTCGCTGTAGCCAGACTACTGTTCCCTGTAAAAACGTATATATGCAAAAAATACAGTATGCACACAGTGAGGCATTTAGATTTAGAGTGCTGTCATGAAGCATTCTTCGACAGGAACAGTAGTAACTAGCACGCCCAACATCATCACGCACATTTTTACCTCAACTCAAACCTCTAATTCGCTAAATACTTTGCTAAATACAGAAAACACCTACAAACATCTATGAATGTTTTCGTGAACTACTGCACACTGTCATTCAGGTGAGGTAACACTACTTTCAAAAGGGCATCTTCCATTTGTTTCTGTATGGACCCTTCCTCCCATCTTTCCCAATACTCCCATATCCCACCCCAACCCTCTCCCCCACCCTCTCGCTCTCCACACCTCTATAGCATCCCGATAGGCTATCCCACCCAATGTTTATTCTAAAGGTCTGACATTCTATCAAACATCATCTCTCTCTTTCCCTGAATTATGTCACCTCAATGACATAGAAAAGAGAGATTGAGAGAGAGAGTGAGAGAAAGAAAGGGAGAGAGAGAGAGAGAGAGAGAGAGAAGAGAGAGAGAGAGAGAGAGAGAGAGAGAGAGAGAGAGAGAGAGAAAGCAATAGCAATCGCCAGACAAATATATGGGACAGGGCTTAAGTTCAACGTGAGATAAATAACTTGATTCTGCCTCTCCACACATGAGAGAGAGGTAGGGGAGGAGACAGAGAGAGAGAGAGAGAGAGAGACAGAGAGAGAGGAGAGAGACAGTGAGAAATGAGAGATTCAAAGAGCTCTTTTAATTAAAGTGGAGGAGAGAGAAGGAGATGTAGAGTATTCAGCTCCTTCTATTGTCCCCTCTGTATGAAAAAGATTACATTTAGTTGCCGTCAGGATTCCTGATTTCAAGCTTTGATAACTTTGGCTGTGTGTGGGAGATTTCTCTCTCCTGACAAACGCTGTGTGTTCACTAAAGTCTGATCGTTATCTGGAATAAATTAAAATACAACTAATTAAGGCTTCAACGAGAGAGGGCGAAATGTATTCCTGGAAATCAAGTTAGGGTTATTAGGATGCGAGCGAGGAGCACAGAGAGGAGTATAGCGGATAGTTCCATTATGGTTCCCTGGCCCAGCAGCTTAGCCCCCAGTTAACAGCTCTCTCATCAAGATGAATAGCCACTGGCTGGCTGAACACTAGACAAAATACTGTATATATCTAATTTAGTGAAAACTGATTCTGTACTGACAATATGGGCTGTTTGGAAATAGACTCATAGCTCCTATATAAAGATTATGTATTAATTTCCTGACTATGTATTTTCTAACGTTAGGTGTCATACTTTGAACACTGAATGCATAATATATGGTATTACTAATGTATTTGTAAAAAGGAAAAACCTCAACGTAACAGAAGTGATTGAACCCCATGGCCTTTGGCACTGTTGTGCTCTGATTGGTCTGGAGAGAGCTTAGTGAGGTTTCTGTAGCACTGAAGCCTGGGACGCCAGTGTGTGACCTAGACCAAGTCTGTCCTGAGCAAACCATCAGGAACCACTCACTATAAAGTCCTCCTCCTGTGGGGGGTACGGGAGCATCACGCCAGGCAGAGATGGAGCGATTTGACTGGAGGTAGAATAGAATAGAGAGACAGAATAAAAGAGAGAAAACAGACTCACTCACAAGGCTATATATGGGAAGTAAGTGAGAGAGAGAGAGAGAGAGAGAGAGAGTGGCCCGTAGATCTGAACATCAAAGTGTCTGGGTGTTTAATTTACTGTTAAAGAGGGGGGTAGCTCCTGTCTTTATGAGGCCATAACCACAACATCTCTGTCAGGTTGCTGCTTCTCTCAGACTGCCTCTCTCTCTCTCTGCTGTTGCTGCCTCTCTCAGACTGCCGCTCTCTCTGCTGTTGCTGCCTCTCTCAGACTGCCTCTCTCTCTCTCTGCTGTTGCTGCCTCTCTCAGACTGCCGCTCTCTCTGCTGTTGCTGCCTCTCTCAGACTGCCTCTCTCTCTCTCTGCTGTTGCTGCCTCTCTCAGACTGCCGCTCTCTCTGCTGTTGCTGCCTCTCTCAGACTGCCTCTCTCTCTCTCTGCTGTTGCTGCCTCTCTCAGACTGCCTCTCTCTCTCTCTGCTGCTGCTGCCTCTCTCAGACTGCCTCTCTCTCTCTCTGCTGCTGCTGCCTCTCTCAGACTGCCTCTCTCTCTCTCTGCTGCTGCTGCCTCTCTCAGACTGCCTCTCTCTCTCTCTGCTGCTGCTGCTAGAAGAGCCCTGCAGGGGCCGGCAGGGAACATTAACCACTAACATCACAAAGACTAAATTATCTTTTAAGATATTACTGTTTATCCAGATGCATAAACCCCAATCTACTCTTCAGACCTCTGATGCTTACTGATGTTTTTTTTTTTTCTCTGAGCAAATGTTTTACTTGAAAATAAAATATGCAGTGGTTTGGCTGTGGTGGTTCTCCCTTGTTGAGATGATGTTTATAAAATAGATCTGTCTGGTTCATGACTAGTGTCACAGTCAATCCTTATAGTCACACCTGCTGTGTTTAAAATAACACTAATTACATTTGTCTGAATAAACACCCGTATTGGACAAGAAGAGTCCAGTAATCCCAATGAGCTAATTTCAAGTGAAACGAGTGTACAGTACTCCTTTCCTAAACAATGTGTTTGATAATTATTAAGTTAGTATTTGGCATGTAAACATTACATTCAAATTACTGTTGTTTGCATGTCAGCTTTCTATTGAATATTTGCAATTGTTAAGAGGCAGTTTTGGACCTAAATTATACATTTAAGAAAGCGATTGAAAACAGAAAATGATGTAATGCTCTGCATTTGTTGTTAGTGCTTCCTACATTTTGGGAATGCATGCCTCATGCAACCATCAATGGAATAATCAATAGTAGTAAGCATGCAAACAGCCTAGACACTATTCAGAACATATTAGAGTCCAAATGCAGTTTATTTGTTTGTTGATTGGGATCCCCATTAGCTTTTGAAGAAGCTGCAGCTACTCTTCCTGGGGTCCACAGGAATAGTTCATCTGAATACCCAACAGAATTGTGCATGTAAGCATAGTATGTCCCTGTCTCACAGTAAACTGATGCAACTAGTGCCTGGCAAGACCCTGTCCCTCTCCATCTCAGAGTTGGCATGCAGGGAAGTATTATTAGTAGTTATTAGTATATAGGCCTCATGTCTCAGTTTGTAATGTTGGGGTTTACCAACTAGTGCCATTGGCCCAAACTCATCCCACTCCTCTTCCTACTCCTCTCTGCCCATCTGGGCTCTCTTTCCCCTACCCACAACATGCCCTCCTATCCTCTCTGTGTCTCTCCTCTCACTGTGACCTGGCCAGCTACCCTACCCTCCATGTCCCCATGTCCTTGTGTCCTGGCTACCTCCCCGCTGAACTCCACTGTGGGCAGGTCCTCATCCATCCCTCTATCCCCGCCCGCCAGAGTCCAGCTCGGAGCTCATCTGGCTAATCTCTCTCGGCTTAACAGTGGGGCCAACTGAGCACTCACAGTGAGAACACACTCACACACAGACACATGCAGACGCACAGGTTGGTATGTGTGCTCCTTCTCCTACCCCCCCCTGTTCAAAGTATCTTACTTCAGCCTCCTTCCAATCTGTCAGATTAAAGACATGGAGACTTCCTGGAAAGCAAGCTTAGGCCTAGAGGTGTGCCAACCTGCCTGACCTACTGACGCCCCACTGACCTCTATACCTCCACCCCTCCACCCTGCCCTGCAGTAGGACATCTGGATAAGACATCTGGACACACCTTCCAGAGGAGATAAGGAGTAAAACGCATTGAGTTGGAGCCCCACCCCCCTCCTGCCAACTAGGAAACGAACAGAGACACTGCCTGGACTGTTATGATTGCTGGGTCATATGTACACCCTCCCTCCCTTCCTCAGTCCCTCGCTCCAATCCTCACCCCATCCTCGCAAATTAACAGCAATATATCACTGAGACTCCACCGTGCCCCTCTATGGCTGCTCAAACAGAGGGTGCTGCTGGTTGGAAGAAGAGATAATGTTGCTGTAGGATGGGGCAGTGTTGTTATGGTGACAGTCTTATCGTTGTCCAATGGAGTGCCAACAGACTTGTGGACAGTTGGCCTTCCACAGGCCACAGGACAATGCTTGTCCGCTCAGCACAGAATAGAAACAGAACTGACCGTCAGATATCTATATAAATATACAAACTACAAGTCCTCCGACCTAAATAAAGTTGTATTTAATGTGGGTCATGCCGTGGAGTTGTCTGTTTTATCTTTTCTTTTCACATTCTTTTGTTTCAGTGTCATGTTGATGATATGATGGCATTAATTGTGGTTTCCGACATTCTAAAAATAAATAAAGTACACAAAATAACTTATCACTTCAATTGTAGAGAAACAGGCTCCAGTCTTATATCTTGTTTCGCTTGACAAATTCACTGGGAGCCAAAGTGTCAATGTCGATGAAATCTTTATTTTGTCTAATTTGCTCATACTCATATTGTGTGCCAACGGCAAAGAAAGAATGTGACAATGTGTGCTAATGGCCCTTAATGGCCCTTACAGAGACACCAAGAGAGAGGAAAAGAGAAAAGAGAAATACTAAACTAGAGAAAAGGGGGTGAGGGAGAAAGGGGGGTAATGTTTCAACTAGGATGATGCATGCACACAACTCCTTCTTTAATGAGCCTTGTTCTTTCTTTCTTTATTTGTGACTTTTCGCTCTCCTTCATTTTGGGAATGTAATTGACATTAAATCCGTTTGGCTTCTTAATTAAATCCCAGACAACTGTTAACGAGGAGATGAGTTCAAACATTCAGCTCACTACATCCCTTTAAACAAGATCGATTACGGCATGGCTGGCGGC